ACGACCGTCCCTCCCTTCCCTTCCTCCTCTCTCCTCCCTCCCTCCCTCCGCCTCCCTCCCTCCCTCCCTCCCTCCCTCCCTCCCTCCTCCTCTCTCCTCCTCCTCCCCCCCCCCTTCCTCGCTCTTCGCTCCCCCTCCTCCCTTTGATCTCCTGCTCCCCTTTTCCTCTCCTTTCCGCACTCACTCCTTTATCCTTTGACTTCGATCACCCCCCTCTCCACCAGCTTCGCCACCCCTCCGACATCCTGAGCCCTCATCGCAGCCTTTCTCCTCCTTCCTGCTGACATGCTTGACCGCAGGTCGGGATGGACACGTTCGGGCTCGACGAGTTCATGGTAGACGACGATGAATGAAGTATGAGCAAGACTGTTCAACAGTTTGTGAACTTGCTGTTGCTAGAGTTTATCAGTAGCGATGGTGATGGTAAAGATGGTTATGATGACGACTACGATGACGAAGATGAAAGGAAGGGAATGTTGAAATGGACGGAGCAGGGAGGGGGAGAAGAAGAAACTGTGACGGGGGAGCGTCAGGACGAGTCGGAAGTACAGGAGGAGAAGGTGATTGCGCTGTTTGTCGCGACAAATTTGCCGCAGGAGCAGGAAGAGAAGGAAACAGCGGTCTCAACCGTTCAGCCGGAATAACATAACTTGTGCATGTACAGCTTGGCATCATCGTCATCTTTCAGCTTGTACGGCGGTCAGAAGACAGGACACAGGAAGTAACAAGTCCATACCAGGCACTCGTACTCCTTCTCATCGACAACCTCCACCTTGAACGGCCTTGCCAACAAGTCAACGATGTTCGAGTTGTTCTTGTCCGTTTCTTACTTCCCAGGAAGTTCATCGATCTTGGCAAAGAACATGAACGAGAAAGGTCGGTCAACAAACACGTTGTAAATGATCGTCCCGGGTTTTACAAACTGCAAGATCGTCCATATCTGCAAGAGAATTGTTAGAACTCCAGATGAAGCAAGCAAGCAAACAAACAACCAGATTGTCATGGAAATCATCGTCATACAAGGAGTCAGATGACTGATTGTAAATCACTTCAGACATTATGATGTAGTCGAATTTCCCATCCTCTGTTTCGGATTCCTGCTTCAGAGGCCCCTGGGATAGATTGAGCAAGACGTAGGAAATCCTCTTTTCCCCTCACTCCCCTCTCCTCTCCTCTCCTCTCCTCTCCCCTCCCCTCCCCTCCTCTCCTCTCGTTTCCCTTCCTCTCCTCTCCTCTCCTCTCCTCTCCTCTCCTCCTCTCCTCACCCAGCGATCTTTCGCCTCCTCTCCCCACTGGAGCTCAACAACCCTGATTGAGCCTTTCCCCTGCCACCCTCAGACGTCACTCGATCTTTCCAAGACCATACATCTGAGTTGACAACTCAGTCAGACCTCCATCCCTTCACATCCAACATCGTTCCACTCGTTCAGCGACACGTCTTGCTCCAGCGCAAGGTTCTTCTTCACGCTCCTCCTCAGTTGATTGACACACCCCCAGCACCTGCAGCTGCCGCTCGCTGTCGCAGCCTCTTCCACTGCCAGTCAGAGTCACTGGGCAGGAGCAGCAGCGAGGAGGCCGAGTTCGCACCTCTACAACGAGCTTCCGTCGATGTGACATGCGCGCCCATCCTGCTGATCGCAAGGGACAGGTGACCCAGTCCTGCTCCGAGCTCCAACACTCTCCGTCCTGAGAACTCACTCTGCTTCTTCTGTAGGTAGTTGCGCAGCACCAGTGAAGCATTCCATAGGATGGTGCCGTCGGAGTTTTCCGAGTAGACCTGAGCACAAGGCAAAGATGACACACGTTTGCAGCATCGAGAGAAGAGGAGATTATAGGAGGGGAGGGGAAGAGAGGTGAGGTGAGGTGATCAGGTGGGTGTAAGGGAGAGATTCTAGGAGGGATGATAATGTTTCAAAACGAAGGGAAGGATATGGAGGGGAAAACCAAAGAAGCGGAGTTCGTCGAGAAGAAGGAGTAAGACGACCATAAGGAGGAGTAAGATGAGAAGGACAAGGAAGAGGAGAAAAACAAGAAGGAGAAAGAGGAGCAGGAGCAGGAGGAGCAGGAGCAGGAGCAGCAGGAGGTAGGGGCGGGGGCGGGGAAGAAACCTGCATAGCGACCGCACGATTGAGTTGGGTGCGAGAGGGGACGAGGGCCACATTCCTTGTTGGTCTATGTCGGGCAAACATGGTGAGCTACCCATGAGGGGAGGGGAGAGAGGACAGAACAGCACAGCACAGCACAGCACAGCACAGCACAGCACAGCACAGCACAGCACAGCACAGCACAGCACAGCACAGCACAGCACAGCACAGCACAGCACAGCAAAAGCACAGCACAGCACAGGATAGGAGCAGAGGATTGGACATTAGGAGGAAGGAAGAAGGAGATAGAAGATCAGTGAAGGAGGAGAGGAGCACCTTAGGGACAGTCAGGACAGGAAGGTAGGCAGCAGGAGAGGAGGAAGCCACTTCGTATCTGCCCTTCTTGGAGCGCATTCAACCATCGCATGCCGTCTGATTGTTTGGCATGCTCTGATATCACCGGGCAGGCCGATCATGAAGGGGTGAAGTGAAGGAGTGGACAAGACATGGAGTCTTCGCTAGCTTCGCCTCAAACGACTTTCGTGCAGAGCGCACGGTCAAGGTATGAGAGCGTCATCCTGGAGCATGAAGGGCAGAGAGTTGAGGATGCGAATCACCTTCGGATCGGGGATGTGTTCAGCATCGTGTGCGCGGACATTCCTGGATCGATGAGCTCCGATGGGTTTGTAGATGAGAACTGTTGGCTGAGACGCAACTTCGACCTTGCGGATGGAGCCGACGATGTAGACTCGCTGTTTGTTGTGTATGCAAAGGAGAATCATGCAGCTCGTATCAAGTACAACTCAACACTGCAGCACGTGGACAGTCTGGTCGGGATGACAGACGTGCAGAAGAAAAAGATGCTCGCGAGCCTCCTCTCCGACATGCAGAACGAGCAGATGACGAACGAGTCAGAGTCCAGGAGGAACCTGGGGAAGGTTGTCAAGTTCGGGGACAAAGTGCAGCTGAAGCACTTCAAGAGCGGCAAGATGTTGATCGCTGAGCAAGTGGGCAAGAACGGCTCCTCCGTGGCAGGAGTGAAGATCAGGAGGGACTACGACGAGAACTCATGGTTTGTCTTCACTCCAAGGTACAAGAGTCACAACCTCTACGATCCAGTCCGCTACCATGACAGCATCTGCATCGCCGCCTTTGCAGCAGAGACGTTCGTGCAAGTCGCCGCAGACAAGTCGGAGGATCCAGCGCACAACCTGCTGCCCTACGACGTCCATGAAATCTTCTCGTACCGAGACACCTGCAACTGGAAGCTGAGAAAGCATGCGAGGTGGGACAGCTTCGGCCCCAGCTTCGTCAGGGGAGGGAGTGTAGTCAGGCTGACCCACAAGGAGCACGACCTCTACGTCTCCTCCATCGTGCGGGGGGAGGAGTGCGAGCTGGGGCTGGAGAAGGATGAGTTGGGGCTGATGGCATTCTCGCTGTGGAGGTTGGAGCTGGAGGGAGGGGAGACAGGTCGGCAGGTCGAGTACGGCGACAACTGTATGCTGCAGAACCTGTTGACTGGGCGGTACCTCTGTCTCAGCAAGCAAGGGCTGGAGATGGCGCTAGAGAGGAACTACGATGCTCGTCTCACGTTGGATCCTGTCTTCCTTACCTCGGGCCTAATGCGTTGGGGGGGCTGCTGCCATATTCGCTCGCGAGAGCAGAAGGCGTACCTCCATGCGCAGCACGAGCATGACGGGAAGAGGTCGACGCTGACGATGATCGAGTGGTTGAACAAGGGGGATGTCTTCGATGTGCTGCCTGTGTCTGAGGATGTGGAGGTAGCGTGCAGGACGATGTTGAGTCTGGAGAAGGCGCTCAGGTTGTACCAGTCGCTGATCAACATGAAGGACTTCCAGGTCAAGGTCAACATATCGACCTACAACCACCTGTCCACCCTCAAGGTGCTTGAAGATGCCATCAACAACTGCAACGTCTCTCATCACAACCGCTCCATGTTCTGGAAGCACCTGCTGAGAAACAGCAAGGTGCTGGTGCTTGTCGTCGAGCTGGCTCTCTCCATCTACAACCTCTGGAGCTCGTCGGAGCACAAGAACGGGGAGTTCGAGTCCCTCCGCTCCATCTACTTCCGCTGCCATGAGCTCTTGCAGAGCGCATGCTACAACTGCTTCGCCAACGGCAAGACGATCTCTTCCTTCATCCGCGACTTCGACAGCCACTTGCGGAACCCGGTCTGCACCGAGATCGTCGGAGAGACTATCAAAGTGATCATACATGAGAACGAGGAGTTGATTGGCAACACTCAAGAATCTGACATCGACCAATTCATCTCTACCCTCCAGACATCTCACGACAACCTTCCGCTGCTCCTCAAGATCTTCACGTCGTACGCTAAGTGCGGAGACAAGGGGATCATACATCTTCAAGACTACATCTCCCACAAGCTGCTGCAGGACCTCTCCAAGTTCCTGATCAAGACTCACAAGGGGGACAAGGACATGGCGGAGGTCGTGTACCAGCAGGGCAAGGCGACCAAGACCATCGACCTCGAGGCCGTGTGCGTATCACCAGCGTACGAGGGAGTCTTCCACCTCTACCTCGTGTGTCTCGAGCTCTACGAGAGCCTCTGCATCGGCTGCAACCACCGCAGCCGTCAAGTGATCAACAAGCTCGTCAGCTACGACGCTCTCCTCAGCTCTCTCGAGGGAGAAAAGCTTCCCTTGTCCCTGCTGCGGAGGTTCGCCAGGCTGATGCTCGTGCTGTACGTCCAGCGCAACCCCAGCGACTACGTCCAGCTCCACATCTCAACGCAGCTTCTCCACGAGATCGACGAGGCTCTCGACCTGCCCCGCCCAACCTTCGAGCTCGACAAAATATTCCGAGACTTCCGCCCTCTGAAGAAGTGTGTGGTGAACAACCTGTTGAACTCGGCCAAGTTCGGGCTCCTCAACAAGAACAACGGCCAAGAGGCGCTCAAGGACGCTCTCCTGTACAGCCTGTCGCTGGCCGAGCTGTGCTCCGAGCTGTTGAGACTTGGCTGCTTCTCTGACTACGATGAGATGAACAGCTCGCTCATCCCTTGCCTTCTGTCCCACCTTGACAAGCGATACGTCCCCGACGAATGCGCTGATCGTTCAGACAACAGAGTTGAGAACGAGATCAGAACGACGCTGCTCAGGACCAAGCTTGCAGTCTGCCGCATGCTCGACTTCGTCTGCGACCTGAGGCTCAAGATCAGGCTCCCCAAGCTCCTCTCTGTGTACAAGGTTGCGATTCCATCGAGCAGGTCCAGGTCCTTCGGCCCCGAGGACGTGGAGAGGTTGGAGGAGCTGCTGAGGACGAACCACAGGGATGAGATGGCGAAGCTGATCTCCTACCTCTCCCTCTCCAACGGAGGGGGAGGAAACAGGCTCGCAGACAACCTGCTCCACCTTCTCAAGTTTGACATGAAGGAGCTTTCGCTAGTCGCCCTCAAACTTCTCTTCCGTGAACATTCGCCGAGGTTGGAGCTGTACAGAGAGTTGAACAACATACAGGTCTCCTCACTGCAACACTCCTCCTCCTCCTCTTTCTCCTCCTGCTCCAAACCAATCCTCCTCTTGCTCTTGCTCCTCCTCCTCCTCCTCCTCCTGCATGTCGACTACTTCCAGCATCTTCAGCGCTTTCTTTCTTCTCCTCACCTTCTCCTCAGATTCTCTTCGACCCTGGCTCCATCAGCGCCTACAAGAAGTGCAAGGAGAGCATGAGAACGCTACACAAGCACAGAGCTCGCCTCCTCCGCTCCCTCCGCTCCTCCTTCAAGACCGTCGCCATCGACCTCGAGGAGCTAAGCGATGTTTGCAGAGCTGTAGCCTCAGTCTCCGACATCTGCAGGCCGAGAGAGGAGACGGCAGAGGAGGTCAGAGTCTCGATCCACAACAAGGAGACCGTCCGCCGGTCCCGCGTCCACCTACTCATCGTCGAGGTACTGGAAGCAAGTATCAAGTGGATCTCAGCTTCGACGCTGTCGTATGATCCGAGGGAAGCTGAGAGGGGAGTGCTGGAACAGAGGTTTCTACGGCTGCTCTACCTCTGCTTCCGCTTCATCGACAGCTTCTGCCGCCATGCTGAAGAGAACCAGATGCTGCTGTCCAAGCATGTCGACCTCCTCCTCGTCTTCATCGGACGTGGGCTCCATGTTACCAGAGCTCTGTCCTCCATCTTCCAGGACAACTGGAAGTTGTCGAATGAGGTGGAGGAGAAGACCATTGCTCGGATCATCCAGCACATCATATCAGGGTCAGACCACAAGTACCGCAAGCCTCACTACCTCGACTTCTTCTGCTCCGTCTGCCTAGTAGGCGGCACCCACGTCTCCAAAAACCTCCAGTACACCTTCAAGCAGCTGTGCCAGTACGGGCCGTACAAGTGCGAGGGGTCGAGGAGCCTGGGCGGTGCCGACGACAGGTCGCCGGATACGGAGGAGGAGGCTCTGCTGCTTTTTCGAGGGCAGGGCGGGAGGCGGAGGAAGGTAGAGCTGCTGGCAAACGGAAGGTCTGCCGCCAATCTGACAGACAAGGTCCTGCACCTCCTGTCGACGGTACACAGCGGGAGCGAAGAGAAGGCATCCAGGGTAACGTTCACGGATGCTCTGGAGAAGCGATCAGTGTTCCACATGGCGTACCATGTGAAGCTGCTGAACTTGCTCATCGTCATGCTGGAGGATCCCAACTCAGAGCTGCACTTCCAGGTTCAGAGTCTGCTCCCTCCGACCAAGTTGAAGGAGGAGATCTTGTCTGAAGAGACGCTGCCATGCGCCAAGATGCACCTGCTCAGGATCATGCGGCTGTTGTACCTCAGGAACGACCAGCCCATCTCCCATCCGATCCTCCAAGAGAACCTGTGGGACATCATTCAGTACGTGCAGGAGACGGTCAGGTCAGTCAGCCTGCGAGAGTTCTCGGTGCTCTTCTCTCCTCGTTCCTTCAACTTCTCCCAGCTGTTCGTCAACGACTGGGCTCCCTTCATCAAGGACGTGCTGGTCAAGGAGGAGGTCATGGAGCAGACGAGCGAGGACAACATGACATGCCTTAGCCTTCTTGTCGACCGCATTGTCGACATTCTTAACGAGCGAGCGCTGAACGCTGACAGGGCCTCCGTCCTCGTCGACATCTACGAGATCGTTCGGTCCAGGCACGTCATCTCCACCGCCGTCCTCACCGACCGCGCAAAGCAGCACATGCAAGTCGACTCGAGCCGCAGGAGGCTGTCGGACGTGCGAGTGAGCCAAGAGGAGGAGGAGCAGCAGCAGGACTACAACCTGAAGGACATCAAGGACCTTGCTTCGGAGTTGATGCAGGGCGTCGAGCTCTTTGCGCAGGCTTTTCTGCAGGCTGTTGACCCCGTTGGGCGGCAGGAGACGGCTGCTGATGGGGAGAATGGGAGGCTCGTGCTAGGGCAGGACAGAGAGGAGATGTTGAACCTTTGCAACAGCATCCAGTTGCTGAAGGAGACGAAAGTGAACCTCTCCTCGTCGAGCTCGATCTCGGAGGAGCCGACGATGCTGTTCCAGGCGGATCAGGCGAAGTACATGGTGGAGCTGCTGATCAAGAACTGCTCTGGAGGAGGAGACATTGTTGAGCACGAGATGCTGATTGCGCTCAAGGTCAGTGTGCGTGTGCGAGAGAGGTCTAGGGACTGAGGAGGAGGAGGAAGAGTAAGAAGGGGAGCAGAAGTAGGAGCAGGAGCAGGTTGTGAAGGCGAGAGAGGATAGGAGAAGTCTCAAGAGGGCGAGAGGGAAGAAGCAGACATGACAAGATGAGAGATGTGGAAGAAGTGAACACTCGTAAGGAGGAGAGTTTTACATCTGTTCACAAATCTACCTCGTCGTCAAGAACTCCCTAACAACTTCATCGCAGGTGTTGAGAATCCTCACAGTAAGGTGGAGGAGAGCTGTCTCCGACGAGCTCCCGCCCGAGTGGCTCAGGAGTGAGGTTCCATCCCTTCTTGTCACACTGATGAGCGACAAGAACGTCAGCGACCGGCTCGCCTACTGTTGCATGGAAGTTGGGATCGAGCTCCTTCAGAGCGCGGGGCAGGTGTTCCAAGAGTCGTTCTACGAGGTGATCAGCATCATGAAAGGAGCCCCGGACTTCTTCGCGGAGCTCCAGCGGAGGATCAAGAGGGGGGAGCGGGAGGCGAAGGAGAAGCATTCGTCGAGGAGAGGGGCCAGGGAGCAGCACAGGGCCACTGCAGGGCAGGACGGCAGCCTCCACTCGCTGGTGGTGCGAGCGATCAGGATGAAAGGAGGGATGGGAGAGTCTCAGGTCAAGCACATCATGCGCTTCCTCCACCTGCTCTGCGAGGGTCACAACCTGAAGCTGCAGAACTTCCTGCGGTTCCAGCAAGGGAGCGCCCGGTCCGTCGACCTCGTGTCCAGTGCCGCCTCCTACGTCGACGGAGTCGTGCAGTACATCTCATGCCGGACGGTGGAGGAGGTTCAGGTCGCAATGCTCGCCATCGCTGAATTCACTCAGAGTCCTTGCCGGGGCAACCAGGTGGCGCTGGTGGATACGAGGCTGTGCGCTTGTGCCAACGAGATTCTGAGCCTCAACATGGCGAGGACTAGCTCGAAGGTCGAGGAGGAGGAGGAGGAGGAGTACGAGAAGAACATCTTCAAACTGAAGGCGGCTACTGCTACAGTACTCCTTGCCCTCCTGGAGTGCGTCGACCGTTCTTATATCCCAGAGAGGATGCTTGCTTCTTTGAACGCCAACAACCTCATCGACAACATGAACCTCTTGCTGCGCAAGTACAACCCGAACAGACTTCGGACTCTCAAGTCCCTCCATGACTGCGAGAAGATCAAGCTTCACATACCGAAGCACTTCGACGCCTCCTTCTGGGATATCCCGCACACGACTGGGGAGAGCGAGGAGGACAAGGAGGCTGAGACTATCGCCCAGCACTACTACATCACATACATCACTCTCGCAGAGTTCGACAACACCGGGACCTTGCAGAAGGCGTGCACAGAAGAAAACATATGGGACCTGAACAACTTGAAGCGGAAAGTTGGTGTGATAGAGATCAGCAGGAAAGGAGTGTTGGAAAGAGCTTACTTCATCATCCCAGACATCTGCCAGTACCTTACCGTCACCTCCAAAAAGCGCTTCATCTACAACGTCAAACGGACCAACTTGCAATCTCAGCTGACGGGTTTCACGGAGAGAATGGAGGAGTTCTACGATGAGATGAGGTATCAGCAGCTGCTGAACCAGCATCCCCTCCTGCGCTTCTTCGGCCTGTCCTACCGCGTGAGGGAGCAAGCCTTCTTCTTCAACGCCTGCCTCATCAACCTCGTCATCCTCTTCTTCTACGCGTACGAGTGCAACGGGTCGTTCGACTGCGGCGACAACGAGGACTTGAGGACGTACAAGGTCCGCCCTGTGGCCAAGGAATGTCTGATCGCCCTCTCAGTCGTCCAGTTCCTCCTCGCCATCACGCGGCAGTGGTGGTACGTGGTAGAGCGAGGGATCCCCAGGATCAAGCAGCTCATTCAGAGACACAGCTACCTCCCTCCGCAGAACCGCCTCCTCCAGCTCCTCCTCTCCCTCCCCCCCGATCAGTCCGACCCCAACTACCGCCATCGACGACTCAAGGTTTACCATCCTCCTGTGCGCTGAACGTGCTTGACATGCTTGCAGGTCCGACCGAGCGCGCTGCAAGTGAGGAAAGTCGACTTTGTGAGCGTGTTGTACCTCTTCTCGGACCTCTTCTTCTGGTGGATAACGCTCATGTCCCTTGCAAGCCTCCTCGCGCTCGTGCTCTCGTCGGAGGGGCGATTCTTCTTCCTCCTCATCCACCTCCTCGAAGTGTTCAATCACAGCCGAGTGCTGCGCAACGTGATCAAGTCCATCACATACCGTGGGGCCTCGCTGATCCAGACTGCCGTGCTGCTCGTCATCATGTACTACATCTTCGGCGTCGTAGGCTTCCTCCTCTTCCCTGAGAAGTTCCGCTTCGAGAGGGCCAACATCGAGGGAGGTCGCAGGCTGGACCCGAACAACAACGGAGCGCGGTGTACTTCAATATGGAAGTGTACCCTGGTGGTCCTGGACATGGGCCTGCGCAAGGGAGACCTTGGTGAAGCTCTCCATGAGATCCCTTGGACCGTCGACGACCCTTCCAGTCCCGATCGCTATCTCATCGTGTACCGCATGGTGTACACGTTCCTGTTCTACGTGATGGTCACGACGATCCTGATGAACATCATCTTCGGTATCATCATCGACACCTTCGCGGAGCTGCGCGAGAAGAAGGAGGAGCTGGATGAAGAGATTACGGGGAAGTGCTTCATCTGCGGCCTCGACCGCATCCTCTTCGACCAGGAGAGCAGGACGGGAACGGGCTTCGAGGACCACATAGGAAGAGAGCACAACCTCTGGAACTACCTCTACTTCTTCGTGTACCTCAAGGAGAGGGACTATGACGACTACTCCGGCGGCGAGTCTTACGTCTTCAGCAAGGTCCTGACCCTGGTACGTGACCCGGACACCCACGAGGTCCTCTGCGACAAAGACACTGGCAAGCAGCTCAAGGTCGCAAAGCAGAAGGTCGACCTCCTCTGGTTTCCTCAGGTAAGACTACCCCCTCCTCTTCCTCCTCCCCCCCCCCCCTTGCTCCCCTCGTCCCTCACCTCTCCTCCCTCCTTCCCTCCCTTCCTTCCGCCCACCCCACTCTGCCAACATCCCCCTCTCTGCCTCCAACTCTCTTTCCTTGTCTCTCACTCGTCCCATTCCCCCGCCTCCATCTGCTCGCTCCCTCCCTCCCTCCATCTCCCTCGCTAAAAGCTTGACAGAGAGCCGCGATCGTTCTTGGCGCTCATGGAGAGGGCAAGGAGGAGGAGCTACTCAAGAAGCTGGAAGATGTTCACCAGAGCTCAGCAGCTATCAATCACTCGCTATCCCACCAGCTCGATAAGGTGCTCGCCGCTACCAGGAAACGATACAACCAAGAGGAATGAAGGAGGAAGCAGAGTAAAAAGTATATTACATCCTTCAACCGCCGTCGGGATAACCATAAGCCAGCTAGCACGAAGACACTACCTGCCTCTGTTGTAGAGGAAAGAGAAGGACCCTGACTTCTTTTGCCTTCACCGTTTCATTCTTTGCTTCCATATCCCCCATTGCAGTCGAAACCCTTGTTATCAGCACCCATCCTCCCACTCCCAAACCATGCACCATTTCTCCGCCTATCGTTTGTCTACCCACCTCTTCGCCTTTGCCCTTTTCCTCGCTTCCTTCCATCGGTTTATCGTTTCTCACTTCATATCCCTTCATTCTATTTCCTATCTCTCCTTCACACCCTGTCTCTCCATCCTCTCTCATTGATACTCCCACATACCTCCATCAATACGCTGGGATAACAACGAAAAACTTTCCGGCTAGCACAGACACTCCCCTGTAAGGTTTCATCTCTCATCTTCTCTCTCCTATCACCTCTCTTCTTTCATCTCCTCTCTTCTTTCACCTCCTCTATCCTTCGTCTCTTCTCTCCTTTCCTCCCTCTCCTTTCATCTCCTCTCTCCTGTCATCTCCCCTTCACCTTGTCTCCCCTATCATATTCTCTCTCCTGTCATCTTCTCTCTCCTCTCCTCCTCTCCCTCTGTCGCTTCATCGTTCCCTTTCCTCGCCCGCTCCCTCCCCCTCTCCCCCTACGTCTCTGCCGCCGCCAGTTTGCAGCTGGGGCCAGTACTCTCGGCATTTCCAGTACCAGTAAAATTGAAAAGTACTCCTTTCAGGTTATCCTCACAAGATTACTTTTATATTTAAAACATTGTTTACTATATTGTTTTAAGAATAAAGAAGTCTCATCGCCCCCAGCACCATTTTCGGAGGCGTTTTACTTCTGACCTGGGCGTCAATCAAAGGGAGTCCACGGGGTACTTTGAGGGGAAAAGGAAGGGTCCAAAATATCAGGAGTTTCTTTGGGGGTAGGGTTAAAAATGTCAGTCTAAACACGGGTATGTTTCCCAAGAGAATTGATGATGAGGGAAGGTAGGGTACCCATTCGTGGTGGGTGGGGCTGGTCAAATCAATCGACTGAACCTTATCCGGTTGTAAGTTAGGTAGAGGGCCGGGGCCCTGTCATGGCAAACAATAGAAGTGGGGGGTGGGGAGGCTGGGAGATAGGGGTAGTCAGCACCGAGGCAGATTGCTGTCAGACGTAGATGGGGGTTTAGAACGGGACATTCAAGGGGTACGTGTCATCAAGTAGGGGTGGGGAGCTCCTGTTGGTAAAATTGTAACGTTTGTACCAGGGTGGGTGATCGACCAAAAAAAAAGGAAGAAACCGTCAGCTCGAAGTGAGGGTGGGGTAGTGAAAGTTTTGGAGGGTTGAGAAGTTTTGAAGGATGGATTTGAAACGTATCAGGCGAAAGAGGGGTCATTGCTGGACATTTGAGGGGTAATTCAAAAAAAATCTAAAATGGGATCAATAGGAAACAAGGGGGTAGGGTACGTGGTTTTATGGTTCCCAAAGGAGGGTAGGGGTAGGGTTATCTCTTGTTCTTGGCAAAACTTCTGGAGGGTGGGGGGTATGACACGCAATGTACCGTTGATAATGGACCCGTGCATCATAGTGAAAAAAGGTGTCAATTGTACGGTGGGGGTAGGTGCAGGGTTGAGATAACAGGGTAGGGTGAAGGTTTACTTTTAGTGTTTACAATGTTTTTGGTTCCGAAGAGTCTTGAGATCGCATCTGATGTCGGTCGAACAGGAAGTAAAATGAGTTTTAGAGGTCACGGCAATTAGTTGCACTACCACAGCTCAATCATAAAAGGCAATCGTGTATTTTAAAGTTGTCGAAAACATTATAAAGATGACTTCTCACCACATCATTTGCTTTACATTGTTATAAACAAACTTAAATAGTTTTTGGAGTAATTTTGTGTACTTGTAAACATCAGTTATAAAACTCCGGGGTTGCTCCCCTACCCAAAGGTGTGCGACTATGGCCCGAGCGGGCCGGGATGGAGGGAGAGTTGCTGGGGATGGAGGGAAAGCGAGGAGAGGATGGCGGTAGCATGAAGAGAGGAGGAGGAGGAGAGGGGAGGAGAGGCTGAATGCTGTAGATGAGGAGCAGGAAGCGCTCACTTACCCTGGTGGGAGTTATCCGAAGAGAGGTTCGAAGAGTTTCTAGGGGAGCTGAGCATAGAAAGCCGTGAGGAGGAAGAGAGAGGGATGGCAGGTCAGCACAGAGGTGAGCTGAAGTGCAAGTGTAAGCGTGATACAACAAGCTCGAGACTCAGAAGCTGAAGGGAAGAAGTGAGGAGAGGTCCAACAAAGTTGTTCTGAAAAATGGTTGGTGAGGACGAGGGCAAGGGGAACAGAGGGCGTGGACGTGGGAAATTTTGGCATAGGTGCGATCATTTCAGGCTGAAAGAGCTTTCTTGATAAATTCGTTGAAGGGTGCCTCAAAGTAGGAGAGGAGGGATCAGTCTGGAAAGTTGGGAGGCACAAACAACGTCAAGCCGGATTCCGTACTGACATGCTGGCAGGCTTGCGCGCGGTTGATGGTTGCAGCTGAGACCAGAAGAAGCTGAAGAATTGCGATGGTGATACAAGTCGAAGACGAGATGAGAGCGAGAGTGGCGTCGAGGAACGTCCAACGACGCTACACGGACTTCTACCTCGGACATGCCGGTCACGAAGCGTTGAAGCTCCACAGCAACATGTTCGTCAAGTTAGCTCCGCTGCCCATGAGCGACTCATTGGACGATGCTCGATCCCCGTTGAAGATGGAGAGGGCGACGTCGGACTCGGTGCAGGAGATGTTCAGGACAAGGAAGTCGAGCAGCCTTGTGTACGCCTCCGGCTCTAGCGAGTTGCCCTGGGAGGGGAACCATGGCAAGCACCTGTCTCCCTTGAACAGTGTGCAGCAGAAGCATCGAGAGGACATGTCGCGCTATGGGATGAGAATCATCAGCAACATGCCCGGCAGGAGCTCGTTGGACGAGGACGGGGAAGATTTGACAAAGGACAGAACGAGGGAGTTCAGCGATTTCTCCTTCGACGGCCCTGCGAGGTGACGATGAACCTCATACTATCCTCTCTCCTCCTCCTCCTCCTCCTCCTCCTCCTCCTCCCTCCTCCCTCTTCTCCCCTTTTCTCCATCTCTCCTGTGGCTATTTAATTCCCTATGGTACCAGCGCCGACAAGCTTCACGCTTCCAGCTGCCGCGCTGTTCTGACCTCGACCAACACCCGCGGCTCCTTCCTCCCCTCCGAGTCCTCCTGGGCGATGCCGAACCCGTTTGCTCGGGTGACTGGAAGTCTGTCTGCAAACTCCTCGCCGATCAACAGGAGATCGTCAAAGTTGAGGTGAGAACGAACAAGCGATGATGTACGTGTAGCTCCAGTAGTGTGAATTTGACTGCATACAAAGTATTCTCCTCTGCTCTGAATGTTACGGTGTGCGAATGTATGCTTCTCCCCTTGTGAACATCGTAGTTGACGCGTCGTGTGTGCTTGTTCTCAGAAATGCTTCATGGATATGTTTACTGTCCTGCATGTTGCGCTGAGAGATTAGAGAGCGGTGAGAAGTGACTTTGTTCTTGCAGGATTTCCTCTTCCGGATTTGATGAGGAGATTCACGATGATTTCAAGATGAGCCTCTCTCCGACGTTCTGGGGGCTGCGACAGATCTCAGAGCCTCTGATGAGAAAAGTTGAAGACTATGAACTGGTCGATGTTCAGTACGTGTACAACATGATCGTCGATGGCATGGCGGTAAGGATGATGGAGAGTTAATTATGTTTTGTTTGTCATGATGATGATGGAGATGATGACGACGACGACGATGGAGATGACGATGATGATGATGGAGATGACGATGATGATGATGGAGACGACGATGATGATGGAGATAACGATGATGATAGGGTCACATCTTGATTGACACAAGGAGTTCGGAAGCCTTCAAGGAGGAGGTAAAGTCCGTGAGGTGTTGTCTTCCTGCCTCACAAGCTCTCAGCACGTCTTCGGCTCGATCCTCCTGGAAGACTGTCGCAATCGCTGGGGGAGACATGCTGTGCTGATCAGCGAGACGGGAGAGGTGAGAATGATTAGACTGCAGATCCGCCCTCTCCTCCTCCTCCTCCTCCTCCTCCTCCTCCTCGTTCAATTCGCTCTTCCTCTTCCTCCTCCTCCTTAATCTTTTCTTGTTTCCTGCTCCTGCTCCTTCATCTCCTCCTCCTCCTCCTGCTCCTCCTCCTCCATCTCACCTTCCAGTAGTTTATGAGCAGAGAGAAACATGCGTTCGATGCCTTGCAGCAGTCTGAGCACATGCTGAGCATCAAGGTCAGAAAATTGTTTCAACGACACGGGAAGTGACGAGAATTTAGATGGTCCAAGGAGGATACGCAGAGTTCCAGGTGACGATGATGATGATATGGAGAAGGAGGAGGAGGAAATGAGGAGAAGGAGGAGGAGGAAAGGAGGAGAAGGAGGAGGAGGAGGATAGGAGGAGGAGGAGCATAGGAGGAGGAGAATGAAAGTTCTATGTTGATCGTCAAAACAGGCGAACTACGGGTTCCTGTGCGAGGCGCAAGCAGAGACTTCACAGGTGAGAGAGGGACCGTTGAAGGAGGAGGAGGAGGTGACAGCTGTTTGCAGGAGGCCCAGAAGCAGAGGAGGTCGCGGAGGTTGCACAGCTACCCATCACAGGTTAAGTTGTCACGACCATGTTGTCTGGCATGCGAGAGGAGGAGAGAAATAGGGGAAGAATTTCTGTTCAAAGGGGAAATGAATATTTGTTGAAGTTGGACGACAATGTTTGTAGTTTGTCAACTACTGATTGTTTCTGTTGTCTTCCTCACCTTCTGACTTCTCCATCAGGTCTTGTCTTGGCTGTTCATCAGTGGAATCGAACCTGCTGAGGATGAGCAAGTAACTTTGCTGCTGCTCCTCCTCCTCCTCCTCCTCCTCTATCTCCTCCTCCCCCCTCCTCCTTCCCTGTTCCCCCCCCCTCCCCTCACATGGTTGCGCAGGTGCTCAAGGATCTGAACCTGACGCACATCGTCAGCGTCACAGCGAAGCCCCATATGGTGACCTCCTACTCATCCTCCCCCTCTTCGCTCTTCCTCCCCTACCTCGCTCGTCCTCCTCCTCCTCTCCTCTCCACTTCCTTCCTCGCTTCCTCCTCCTCCTCCTCCTCTTCCTCACCCTCCGCAGGTCTCAGTCCCCGCAGACTTTCATCACCTCAAGATCGCGATCCGAGATGAGGTGAACAGGCAGCCTGCCGCTGTCTCCCTCCTCTGACCTCGAGCACGAGCAGAAGGAGGAGGATATCTCAGTTCACTTCGAGAGGACCTGGGACTTCATCTCCTCCGCGCACCACAAGTCCGTCCTCCTCCTCCTGCCCTCCCTCCTTCCGTCTGCTGACGTCATCGGCAGAGGAGGGAAGGTGCTCGTTCACTGCAAGATGGGGAGAAGTCGCAGCGCGTGCATGGTGCTCATGTGCCTCGTCCGGTCAGGAATCTTCACGCTTCAGGTGCGACTCCTCCTCCTCCTCCTCATCATCATCATCATCATCATCATCATCCCCTCCCCTCCCCTCCCCTCCCCCTCCCCCTCCTCCTCGCCTCCTCCTCTTGCTGCTGTCTTCATTCTCTCCCATACTCTTGTCTGTGGTCTCAATTCGTCTCAGGGCGCGTGGAAGCACCTCAAATTGTGTAGGAGGCAGATTGCGATCAACAAGGGATTCACCCAACAGGTGAGACGACGATGATCATGTGGAGAGGGAGAGAGGAGGAGGAGGAGGAGGAGGAGGAGGAGGAGGAAGAGAGGGGCCGGGGGGAAGAGAGGCCGGGGAGGGATGGCGGGGCAGGAGGAGGAGGCTGGGAAGGAGGGGGAGGACAGGAGGAAGGCAGCGAGATTGACATGTGAACAGTTGATCGACTTCGAAAAGAGCTTCACAGG